TCTAATTAGAACCAAGTTTCACCTACTCTTGGTTGTGCAGTATTCTTTACCACTCTTTGTATCTTTAGACACTCATAGTATCTTCCTCATACAATGTCTAATTGAGTTTCACCCACTTCTGGTTTCTACTAGACAAACTCGTCTATCTACTATTTAGCCCCACCGAGTTAAGCGTTAAGTATTTGAATTCTGTTTTGAATTTGCGAAATCAATCATATCGCTTACAAGTCCTCCGACTATTACTCTCACGATCATCAATCACATACTCAGGTACATCCCAGCACTCACTCATGCTCCACTCTTAACCACAAGTCAAACTAACCATAAACATAACCACTAACCTCAATCTCTGATTATCATCATGTTCCACAGCTACTCAAGCTTTGTTCAAGTTCATTCTTCATCAAATTCGCCATTGTCACCAAAATGTATTGTGATAATTGATTATCACTTAAGATAATTGATTATCTTAGAAAAATTTAGCCAAAAACATCACGTAGGAAGGGATAATAGATTATCATCCCAGATAATCGATTATTTCTAAAACCACACTCAAAACCAACGCACATATAATCGATTATAACTAATGATAATCGATTAATCTCAAATTGAAACTCATCTTGGACATGATTCAAGCAAAGATATATACATCAATCCTATATCACGTGGAAACATGGTTAACACATCATACATGCATTCAAGCATCACATACCCATGTAAACATACTTAAACAAGTTCTATTTTTTAATGGAGGCTAAATAGATGATTCTCTTACATTTAGAAATACAAATACAAGTTGAAAATCTTACATTGAGTAAAAGTTAAGATCAACATACACATATTGAGATAAATGAATGAGACAAGTATGTTCTACCGTTGTAGAAATTTGTGGTAAAATTCAACTTACACATGAGTTCAAGTATGAGTTTAAAAGTTTACATTGAGTAGAAATAAGAAAGTTGAATGACATACGAGACAAGAAAGAACCTTAGATGTTGAGTCTTATAAGGTTTTATGTTAGAAGTGTTGTTAGGTTTATTATACAATCAACTTAAAGGTAGTTAATCTCCTTAGTCTATCACAATAAAAGATTTCAACAATTGTATCAGAGTCGATGATTTTTTTCGGTATTCAACTTAAATAGAGAAAAATATGTTTCGATATCGTAAAACTTAATCGTAATTATAATTTGTGAAAAATGTGTCAAGATAAACAGATGAGACAAGTGGTGGAGGCAACTCACACTTGTGGTGGAAATAATTAAGAATCCAAATATGAAAGTATGAGTGGTGTATAACAAAAATAAAGAGCCACAGTTATTATGTTTTAGAATTTTTTTGTTGAAAAGAATGTGAAATCTTTTACATGGAGAACTCATATCTCGTTGATAATGAATTTTCTTAGTCCATTCAAATATAAAAGTTTTAATATTACTTATAAGTAAAAATCATAAATATGAAGGATTTTGATAAAAATTATCTGAGCTCCGCTATAAACACTAAATGTTCTTACAGAAATATAAAATATTATTGAAATGAATTCTAGAATATTATTGAATCGAATGAGCTGTTGAAGGGGCAAAATCTCCTTATTAAGCTATATTGATACTCTGCATTATATTTATACCTTCTTTTACCTCCTTAAATAATACTGAGTAGTTAAAAATAAGCTTAAATGCTTACTTCGTCCCCATGTTAAGAGGTGAATTTTTGTTTAGTACCCGGTTTTAAAAATGAAGACATTGGATCCCTATGTTATGAAAAGTGCACGACTTCACTCCTATCCGTTTAACGGCGTTAAAATTGATAACGTTGAACTGACTATGGATGTGAGGTGTGCAAGAAATGTCGTTGTGGCAGCCAGGGTTTCTTTTCCCATCCAAGAACAAGGAAAACTTGGGGTTCCCTCTTCATCGCGACAACCTTCTGCCTCTACCCCGAACAGGATCAATGTCGCTCCTCCTAGCCAGCCAAGCACGTCATTGGCGACAACGCCAATGTTGGAAGCTTCGCCGCCCTTCGCGGCCCTCCTCCTTTGTTTTTGTTTTTTGGAATGATGATGGATAGTAGGGATGTGGGAGAAGAGTTGGTGCAGGAAGCATAAAGATGTGTAGCTTATAAAACTCGTTCCAAATCAAATCTGCACACCTGCAAAATTCCACAATCCAACAGATACAACAAGGCTAGCACTTACAATTGAAATTTCAATTCAGCAAAAATGAGTATATGAGCCTAAGTGCAGCAACTCATGTTCTAAAACTGAATTTGATGCTGTATCACTGCCGTATATTACTTTGCTGTATCAGCTTTCAAAAACAAGTTTTTTTGCACAAGCAGCAAGATCATCAGTTCAATAGTATCAAACAACATGTAATATAACCAGTGTTTGCCTAATTAATCACAATTAATGAACCAAACTGGTCAAAACAGATTGCACAACTATCCAAAACCAGATAACTACAAGGCTTAGGAAATTTGAAATCGTCAGATGTGGTTAGTTTCAATTCTCCATTTCATCAGCATTTACCCCTATGAATGTTAATTAAATCAAAGGTTGCACAAATATAAGTAATTAGCACAATTCATATTTAGGAAAAAACTTTTTCAGCAATTGAAATATAGTGCAGAGTTTCTCTCAGCCCAAAGCTATTTGGCTTCATGTGCATTCACTCAAATCTCACTTCCTGTACTGCTTCAGGTGTTTTATCTCCACTAGCAACTTTCTTTTAAATGAGGCTTTGAAACTCCAATATGACATCACAACACCAATGAATTTAGCCAACATAAACACCAAACAAAAGTAAATTCACAGCACCAAAGTTCTCAGCATAACAGATTTGGAATGGACATTCTAGAGGTCAAGAAATGCAAAATCAAATGATGCTAGGAGTTGAACAACAGTAGGGACACAAAATGAACCTAAGAAAGGTACTAGAATGGATTAAACAAGCAAAGAAATCAAAATAGCAGATCAAAACACATCCAAAATCAAAATGTTTGATATTTTGCAAAGTGTTTGATAAAATGCCCAAATGAATTTCAGATTTTGAATTTTTGAGTTTTAGGGCCTCTAATCTGGATTGCAAGGTTCTATACGCTTTCTATCACTTGATTATACTTCTTTTGATCATTTAATTTCTAAACACTGAACCAGCTTTTTCCACAATCCAGAAATGAATTTGAAGAAGAAATACCAAAACAGTGGTTGGAATAGCTATTCTACACAAGAAAAATGTCCCTGGTTTGGTGGTTTAACACTCAATTTCGTATGGCAGTGATTCAAAAGCACAACTGAATGTTTAAGAAACTTTCTTTAATGATTTGAAATGTGTCTAAACTCTGAAATGAGTTATAAATAGCTTGCAACTCAAAATCCCTACTCCACTTGCATTTTTTAACCTAAAAAGTGATGGTTTAGAAAGCAAATTTGCACATAGGCAAGGATATGATTAAATGAACTATGCTAGAAAGTTTCAAACATCAAATTAAACTTGTTCAAGCTTTCCAACAACACAAAAACAACATAAACCGAAATCACACCTTGTTATGGCCAATTATGTAGTAAAAAATTCCATCACACCACCAAAATCAGGTTTCCAAGAATCAAAAGGTTTAAGCAACAGTGAAAATGACTCAAAGAAGTATGAATGCACTAAACTAAACTAGAATTAGAATGCTTAGTATGACTAAAATCATAATAGACCAAACAAAGAATATTAGCATGGTGAATAGCTGGAATTAAAAACTGAACAGTGAGATGCTATTAATTGTGAGCAACCAAGTTATGCAAATTGCATTTCATTGCTTGTAATGGTCTGCTACACTTTTAGCAACCTTCAACAACATCAACCAAGTTTGTATAAAGGCGACGTTGGCGTCTTACAAGAAGGAGAAGAGGAGGCCGTTATTGAAGAACAATGATCCCAAGTGCTACTATCTTCACTACTCTTCTTTCGCCCTTTAAAGTAAATAGTAACCTTGGATCTTATCTTTCTCTTCCTACAATTCGTTTTAGTGATTGATGAATTATTTTGAGGTGCAGGTTTAAAGGCTGATGAAAAGTTAATGAATTTGGGATCAAGGAATTTTTTTGCTATGCTTAAAGCCAACGTCTTCTTCTTGCTTTGAGAAAGAGAATATGGCAATTGATTATGCATTTCCTTGGATGGTGTTCGTTCCTCTCTTAGCTTTAGATTGTACCCATGAACACCATACCAAATATTTCTTCGGCCACATTAGTAGATGAAACGATGAGCGTGGGGATTTTAGGTGGGGATGGAGGTGAACAGGAGAGAGGAAAAGCTGAACATGAGAGAAAAAAAACTGCACAAAAGAGGAGAAAAAGGAAAGAATATGTCACATCAGCATGAAATTAACGTTGTTGCTGCCAATTTAACGGATAGGACTGAAGTCATGCACTTTTTATAACATAGGGATCCAATGTCTTCATTTTTAAAACCGGATACTAAACAAAAATTCAGCTCTTAATAGAGGACGAAGTTAATATTTAAACCTTAAAAATATAATATAGATGTACGTTCCTTGAACTTTATTAGATTTACTTTCAATGATCATAGTAAAAGGAAAGGTGAGGTTCTCCAAATCTATACGTTTCTACGATACCTATATTGTAATATAGAGATTTTTTTTCTATTTCAAAAGTGTCCACTAAACGGATCATGGTGATCAATAAATATTTAATTACATTTCTTGTGCTTCTTCTATTGTCCTAAAAAATATCTGTTTTCCTTCTTTTATTCATTTTTATTTTAAAATTAGAAAATTCAAAAACGGTTATTTATTTAGAGATCTCATAAAACACGTAAAATATTTTCATCCAAAATCATGGTTTTCTTAATTAAAAAAAAGGTTATAATTTGATGATATAATTTTCCCTCCTTAAAGAGTATACTAGCGTTACACATGCATCAACGGCATAATTAAAGCAAAGATGGAATGCCCAACCCCATCGTCTTACATGTTTTCCACGTTCAACACATTCTCGCTCTCTCCAGCTAGCTCATAGCATTTCCTCACTCACAACTATATATATTTCTCCACAAACCCACCAACATTCTCAGCCTATGCTCTCTTCTCTCTCGGGCTTCAACCACTTAGAAGAAGCATGCACAACATCATGACTACCCTATTTCTCCTTATCCTTCTCTCACTACTCACTGTAACAACACTTTCCCTTAACTCTTATTGCTTCAAAACGCACTTTTTTCTATTCTATTATACTATATTATGCTTACGTATAACACATGTGCCTGCAGGTTACACTCGGTGGTCGCGACATACCAGATAAAAACCCCTTTACTCCCAAGGCTTCGGTGGCACGCTACTGGGACAAACACGTCCGCAACACCTTGCCAAAGCCTTCATTCCTTCTTTCCAAGGCCTCCCCTATGACCGCCGTCCAAGCCGCCTCTTTCACAAACCTTGCCGCCACCAACACCCTCTCTACACGGTTGCCGGAGTTCTGCTCCGCCGCTCACCTGCTCTGCTTCCCGGAGGTACGTCCTAGCCTGGAGAAACACACCAAAGACGAGAATTTTCAAACCTACAACGACGGCCAGAACTTCACCAACTACGGAACGGGTAGAGTAAACGGAATAGACACCTTTAAAAACTACTCCAACGACATCGTCAGCATTCCGGTCAACGCTTTCCGTGGATACAGCCGCTCATCCATTGACCACAGAGAAAGCTTCACCGGCTATGCCAATGACATCAACGTCGCCGACCAGAGCTTCAACACTTACGGCTCCAACAGTGGCGGGGAAGGCTCCGGCGAGTTCAAAAATTACTCCAGCAATTCGAACGTCGCTGAACTGCGATTCACCACCTACTCCGACGACACCGTCAATAGGAAACAGTCGTTCTCCAGCTACAATGAGGACGGAAACGCAGGCGACCAGACATTCCAGAGCTATGCCAAGAACTCCTTTGGCGACAAAAACGACTTCACAGGCTATGGAACAGACTCCAACGTCGCCTCCTCTAGCTTCACTAACTACGCTAAGAAAGGCACAGCTAGCAATAGTACGTTCACCAACTACGGCGTTAACATGAATAATCCCCAAGAGAAATTCGAAAGCTATGGCGATGGAACCGTTGGTGCGACGCACAACTTTGCCAACTATAGGGACCAAGCTAACGTAGGAGACGATTCGTTCCAATCCTACGAGAAGAACACGTTTGCGTCCACAGTGAATTTCAAAAACTACGGCAACTCCGCCAACCCCGGTTCCGACACTTTCAAAGGTTACGCTAAAGGAGCAGAACGTAACACGGTTGGCTTCACCGGCTACAGCGTTAACACTAACGCAACGTTTAAGGATTACGCCAAAGAGGGTGTTTCCTTCGCTTCTTACAACACCTCTTCCTCTTCTTCAACTGTTGGTGGCAGTTTGGTAAAAAGGTGGGTTGAACCGGGTAAGTTTTTTCGTGAGAGCATGCTGAAGGAAGGAACCGTGATGGCCATGCCAGACATAAGAGATAAAATGCCCCAAAGATCATTTTTGCCCCGCTCTATTCTGGTGAAATTGCCCTTCTCTTCTTCAAAGATTGAGGAGCTGAAGAGCGTGTTCAAGGTGTCTGATAACTCCTCCATGGAGAAGATGATGATGGAGTCTTTGGGTGAGTGCGAGAGAGCACCCAGCGTCGGAGAGATCAAACGGTGTGTGGGGTCTGTCGAGGACATGATTGATTTTGCAACCTCTGTTTTGGGCCGTAATGTCGGGGTTTGGACAACTCAGAACGTAAACGGGTTCGGTAAGAATGTAATGGTGGGTCGGGTCAAAGGGATGAACGGTGGCAAGGTAACCAAATCCGTCTCCTGTCACCAGAGCTGGTTCCCTTATCTGCTTTACTACTGTCACTCCGTTCCTAAGGTTCGGGTGTACGAAGCGGATCTCTTGGATCCGGAATCCAAGGCGAAGATTAACCACGGTGTTGCTATATGTCACTTGGACACCACCGCATGGAGCCCGACCCACGGCGCATTCGTAGCTCTTGGATCGGGTCCGGGTCGGATTGAAGTATGCCATTGGATCTTCGAGAATGACATGACTTGGACCGTTGCAGATTGATTGAGGAAAGAAGTGACGGTGATTAGAATCGGTTTCCGCCAGCTGCTAATAAAAATGAAAGCTGTCTCCACCGCATGTTAATGTGTTTTTTCATTTTTAGTTTGTTATTTAAAAATAACTAAATGGTTTCTGGAAGAATCCACCTGTTTACATAACCTGTCAATTAATTTAAATGTTTGCAACTGTGTTTGTAATTATATGTTGTATTATATGGCTTCCTTTCTCTTATTATTTAAATGCCTGGAAATTTTATTTACCTCACACTACAAAACTGAAAACTCATTTCAATAAATCAAGTCAATAATTAGACAGTGAAATCAATACGTAATTTAGATAAATGTTTACCTCAAGGTAAAATTTAAACACTAACCATTGACTATTCTTAAGCAGTTAATAACTGATAATAAAGTTTAAGAACAATATTTTATCACGTTTCAAGACTCTAATAAATTCAAAAACTTCAATTGAGTCTTTAATATGATTTATTGAGTATTAAATAATTTTATATTTTTTAATTGAATCGGAAGTTGTTAAGTTTTTTTTTTAAATAAATAATGTAATTAATAAGTAGTTTATGTGATTGATATACCTTATTGAGTTTGTTATCACGTGATATTTTATAAAATTATAAAATTATACAATTGTAAAATCATAAAATGGTAAAATAATAAAATTATAAAATCATAAAATACTTTAATTTACTAAAATTTAGTAACGCAACATCCCAATCTAACGTATTTAAACTATTAACTAAATCATTATAATTTAGATATTAAGCAATAAATTATACATAAACATGTAATATATTAAGTAATATATATTTCACAGTCTTAAAATTAAGGAAAATTCTCAAATTATACAAATATTTTCAAGAGATGGAGGAGTTATATAATACAAAAACTATATACCAGC